CAATAAGAGGACCATAGAGAAGCTGTCCCCTGATTTAAATCATTGTGCAGGAATTCACAAGGATAACCTTATTTGCTGTAAATACACTCAGAGGACACAGAATCTGTGTAAACCTGAATAAGCTCTCCAACCATAGAGAATTTAATTCCTAACTGACCAGCATAGCAAAATCTGGAGCTATGTATGGCAACAGCAAAATAAACTTGATTCGAATTACTTCTTTTTAAACTGCAGATTTAGTACACTTTTCCCATCTCTGTCAGCCACATGGTCTTGTTTTGAAGTATTTAGAGCACCTGCTACTTGGGCTGTTAGAGCTGTGTATTTATGCACACAGAACAGTGTGCTAGGGAAGTACTGATTTTCCTCCAGCAGTTAGAAGATGCTGTGTTTGCAAATGCGGAAGAAAGAGCCCACACTGTATTTGGAAGAATGTTAGTTAATCTAAAATTAGAAAGAGAACAAACAAACAAACAACTTAACCTTGCCTCAAGAGGATGCCAAAGGTGGGGTGCTACAGTCATGACTAACCTCTTTCTTTGTGGACTACACTTGCAAGCGTAGGTACAAAGGGATCAAATGTAGGGGAAATCCATGCCTCTGCCTTCTCTTAACAGAAGACTTTTAGTCCTGCAACTTAGGCAAGGGAAATATTGAAAGATAACACATCAAAAATAAGGTGCTCATTTTTCCTACCTGGTCTGTACTCTTTAAACATACATTATTTTAATTATATGATGAGAGTAATGCTGTGTCTAATGCGCCATGTGCGCTGGAGACAAACAGCATGATTCCAAGCTGCAAGGAGGAGCTGGAAGTCTGTCAGCCTTGGGAACCTCTGATGTCTCTCAAGGGAAGAAAGAAGCCCTGCCTTGTTTACTGGTGAGGTTCTACATGTTGCTGTTACACAAAAAAGTCTTTGGTTTTGTGCCTACATTCCTAACTAGATTACAAAGAATTGGGGCTGAAGCATAAACTGGCAGAGCCACTTACTCATTCCTATAGAGATGAAAGTGGGCCCTGTTCACTCAACGGCCTCAAGACCAAAGGGAGAGGACGAGAAGGTAGAACTGGCTTCCCTTAGTTCTAGATACAAAGTATTCAAATATTTACTTGCATTCAGAGAAAAAGCTTAAACTTTCTGCATGTAATCATTATTAAAATACATTTAATGCTACAGATAAATTATAAATTTTAGAATTACAAAATATTTTAAGCACACACAACTGGATGTCATTTTTAAAAATGAACTGAAGATGCACAGACTGTGTTTGCCTTGTATCTTTAAAATTACCTTGCACAGTTTTACATCCTACTTTGGTGAGTAGCAACTGGGATCTTAAAAGCTTAAAAGTGGCTATCCAGATGCAAAGATGGGTCTCTCTTCATCCAGAGCAAAGAAGAATGAAGAAAACCAAAGATGCATGGAAACAATTAGTCCAAAGGACTGGTAGACCATGTAATCCTCAGCCTATATGACAATGAGACCAGAAAAACTAGATGGTGCCTGGCTACCACTGTCAACCACTTAGAGGGGAATCAGTGCAAGAGATCCTGGATAGAGTGGGAGAACAATATGGAACAAAACTCAAAATCATAAAAACAAACAAACAAATAACAACAACAAAAAACACACACCCAGGTTTGCTGGTCTGATAGAGCCTGGTGAGACCCCTCAGACTATGGGCCCTAGTTACCCTTCAGGTCTGGAACTGAACTTAACTCCCGTAGCTGTCAGCCCAACAATATACAGGCTTATGGAGTGAACATTTACATCAGGGAGATAGACATCTTGGAGTGATCAATCGTGGGAGAGCAGAAGGGCAGTGTTTTCACAGGGAGATAGCTCAGGGGACAGGAATGCATACGAAAGGACACAAGGAAGAGGTAACTACGGGAGGAAGTGGGAAGAGAGCTGTTACACTGTGCCAAATTGCAGCCTATGTCATGAGACAAAACATGTATGAACTGCTGTATGGAAAATGAATTTGCTCTGTAAACTTTCACCCAAATCACAATAAAAATGCAACAACAACAAAAACCCAAAAAACAAAAATAATCTTGCACATAGTGCTTCATAAATTTTGTTAAATTGAATAGCTGGTTCCATTAAAAAGTGCAAATTTATGATTAATCCACTGCTTTCAGGTGGATTATGACTCACAGTTACCCTATAGGACAGAGTAGAACTGCCCTACTGGGTTTCAAGGCTGGGAATCTTTAGGAAACAGACTGCTACATCTTTCTCCTGTGGAGCAGCTGGTGGGCTCAAACCATGATTACTTGAATACATTCTCCTCTAGCTTTCAAACTGCTCAACATGACATAATTATTGGTTAACAAAATTGTAACAAATGCACTTTGATATTCCTAACAAGCTGATTTAACGTTTATAAAGGGTGTCAAAATAATATCCCGGATACTTAATTTTTCTTATCATTTTCTTAAAACATATGTCGGAAGAGAGGAGGCTTTAATATTTCTGAACATTTTCTACTTCTAGCTGTGTACAAAAGCAGTGACCTTTAAAATTCTCCTAACATTTTGGAAGTCTCAGAAAAGTCATGATATAATTCTATGGAAATAATGCAGGACCCAAAGAATAACGCAGCAATTTATACATGCTGGGAATTTGCAGACTGAATATAATGAGCCTTTTCTAACAGAATTCTAGAACTGTGCTAGAGCTAGCATTTAGAGCTGGAAAAATTAAAGAAGTATATGGTGCTGTCAAAGGCCGTGCTTTTCTATCTTTATCCATGTGCACAAGAATCACCTGGAGAACTTGACAAAACAAATTTCGGTGCCCACTATCTGTTTCAGTAGGTCTGGCTTGGAGTCAGAATTTGCATGTTTTAGAAATTTCCAGTTGATGCTGATGCTGATGTTGGACTTTGATCACTGAACAAATAATGCTTCATGGAGACTAACATGCTTCAGACATTTTATTTGCTCTCTAGATCTCTGGGTAAAATGGACAGAAGCAATTAAAAATGAAAACCAAAGAGGTAGAAGTCTTTTTGTTTCAGAATAAAGACAAATTAGAGGAGAAAAGGAGAAACATTTATGAAGTATACAGTGAAATCTTTAGGGTGTGACTAAACGTACCAGCTTTATTTAGCCAGGCCAACAGTCAGATCCTAAATCTATAGCATCCTGAGTCGGATTAAAGATTTATGTGGAAATAACCATACATGGCAACGCTGAGATATATCTAAAAGAGAAACCTGCCATGTTTTGAACAGTCTGTTAACACAACCACATCTGTCCTGGTCTTGTAATTTGAACGCCTAGAAGAGCCTAAACAAACACAACTGCCATCAAACAGCATTTCAACCAGGGCATTGAACCAGTTTAGTCATGGCCGATGAAATGACAGGGGAACAGACCTAAATTTTTAAAATGTGCATGAACCAGAACACTAACTGGAATGTGATAAATTGCAAGTCAAAAGTTAATTTCCATCTTAGACAACAAGGGCATGTGTGTGTTGTATCACAACCAAATCCCTTGAAAGGCACTCTTGAAAACCACGATGCTCGGCTCAAAGATGGCAGCCAACCAGAATGCTTTGAATGGTGTACAGTCGTGGCAATAATCCAATGTCACACATCAGGTTTCTGAGAGGGCTCACTATGCCACTTCCAAGTCTCCCATTCCAGGACTTTGACCCATAATTTTTCCTGCTTTAGTTAGTGTTCCAGATCACCCCAATTAACACAGTTCACTTCTGTTCCGGTTGTGCTTTGTTGGCCATGACTGCGCTGTTTTGGAGGAATTCGAAACCCTGACTTCAATGTAGCATTCTTTAGGAAACTTCTTGCTAAATTAACACCAAATGCAAGATGGATACTACAAGAGCCTTGAACTGCTTTGGAATGAGAAGCACACAAAGAATAAATAAAACCTGAAGACATAGCAGAACACTTTTCAAGGAAGGCAAAGTTTGATACTATTTTTGAATGGAATCTAAGAACTGACCATGCACTTGTTCAGGTTGGCTTTGCAAAGTTAGAGGTTTCAAGATGCTAAGGAATTTTCTTTTTTTCTGAAATTACCAGCAAACACTGAAGCTTAAATAAAGTTACTTATAACAAGGTTCCATAACTTGCTATATATCAGTAACGATGCTAGTCAAAAATCACTCAGTAATATGAATTGAAGGGAAATACAATGGTTCTTTTTCACTCACAGAAAACAGACCCTGCCATCACCAAGTCACGCTTATATAAGCCCAAGAGAGGAATGCACATTCATTCAAATAGTCAATCACTTTAATAAACCACAGAGGGAAATTAAAATGCAGTAAATGAATACTACTAACTTGCATAGTTAACATATCAAATTAAATAAGTGAGTCTCTAGAAATAGATTCTATGCCAATGACATTTTAAAACAATTTATTTCCCAAATATTATTTTTTTTTCTGTGCAACCAGATCTGTGCCATCAATTTGCAGAAATAATGTGCTTTATCTGCTATGGCAGATTAACAAAATTGGATCTAACAGTCTCTTAGCAACTGCAAATGCCTTTAAAATCCTTTGGTTATACTCTTTATGATATAGGTCAATAGTTTCAAGATTTTAAGAGTAGTAATGCTCACATAAATATTTCATGAAATTTAATATAAATTTATTAGAATCCACAGCTTCAGTTCAAAGTTCTAGAATTTTAAATAGTTACCATCCCAATTTCTGAAAGGTTAGCTCATCCCTAGAAATAATGTGCATACAATTAGAGCAATGCCAGATTATAAAATGTATCATTTATTAATAATCAAGCACACAAAGGCAAGGTGCTTTTCAGATAGATACCAATTTAAAGAATTAGTTGTAGCCTTATTCAGTGCCAAAGTGTCAATTACTTTCTATAGATATCTTTATTGGTTTAGACATTTGATTTCAAATGCTGTCATTGATAATTGCCCTTCTTCATTTGTAGACTTAAAAGTACAGTGATGAGCTGTACAATAGAGGTGGTTTCTCTTTCATCACTTACCTAGGTTTTGCCACATGCTGAATATTTCACAACCCATTGTTACCCGCATGTCACCATACCTGAAATAGAACAAAAATCAAACCTAACACAAAGCCTCCAGAACAAAGCAGTGTTTGTGTCTCTTTAGGAAACAACCTATTATTCTGAAATCGAAGGCATTAAGCTTTTTAAAAAAATATTACTGTGGTAAAATAAAAATATGTGTCATTTAACGTCTATTCAGGCAACATCTGACCACACATATTTCCATGGACTTGTAAGGTTTTTTTAAGAAAAAAACAAAAAGGGCTATCAGTTCTCCTTTGGTATGTTACTTTCCCCTACTGGTTTTAAAGACCTCTAACTCAGACTTTTGCAGCACGTCGGGTTTGACTCGACGGCAAACAACAACAACAACAACAACAACAACTCAGACTTTTGCAGCACTAGACGATGGGTGGGATAAAGACAGGTGAAGAAAAAAGGACATGGCTCTGCGCATGGGCTTTGTCCAGCTATGGGAGCTGTGGGCCCCGGCTCCTCCTGCGCGGGTGGGCAGAACAGTGGGCAGGACTGGGCATGCTCAGCTCCCTCCCCACTTGCTTCCCCTTGCCCTTGCTCCTGCTCCTGCCCTGTCAGCTGCCACCCACTCCTCAGGCCTCAGCCAGCATCTCCAGCAGTGGCAGCAGTGGCAATGAGGACAACTAGAAGTGAGCTTCCATAAAGTCTGAATATGGTGTTCATAAAACATCCAAATCACACAACGTCCTATCACATGGAATGTCTCAGGGACAAAGTGACACATACTTACATATACATACTGTATATATAACAAAATTTGCCATTTTAACCATTTTTAAGTGTACAATTCAGTGGCTAATGCATTCACAATGTTGTCAATCAACACCACTATTTTATTTCAAAAATAAGTTCAAAATATTGAAATTTCTAGAAATGATCAATTCTTGTCTTCCTGTCATTGCCACTCCTCTATTTGATTTCCGGTTACAGACATTCTGATGATGAACTAATCATCCATCGAGAGGCCCAGCGCTTGATGAAGAGCCTCACACTCCCACTGGGTTCTACACTGGTACTTACTTTTCTAACACCTTTTTCTTTTTGGAAGGTGTGAACATCTCCAACTGCAGACACAACTGATTTATAAAAATGACTGCGAGGTAAAAGTAGGAATCCCAGATCTAAAATGACAACAAGATATTTAAATACTGTGATGTTACAAAAAATATTCATGAGTGAAGTGACATGTAATCTTGGATTTGTTTTAAAATGGTAGGGGATAGGGGCACAGTTGAAATATGATTAGCCATGAGAGTTGGCCATGATAGTTGAAGCTGAATATGGACACATGGGAGTTCATTATATTATTCTCTCTACTTTTATATATACTTGAAAATTTCTACAATAAAGAAATAAACTAAATGTACAAATAAATACTATTTAAGGTTGGGCAATCTACTTGCATAGTGAAACCACCTTGGAAACCCAAGGAGGGGTTGCTATGAGTTTGGTCCAACTCCATGGCAATAACAACAACAAATTTATATATTGCTTCAGGGTCATGTCCCAGGTTTTCTGAGTTCTTTGGTATAGGCTAAATGGTAGATATTTTGTTACTCTTATAACATGTCTGAGTATCTCCAAGGAGGCTGAAGTATGAGATGGATTACTTCATACTTCATTGAATTCATTTTGGAATTCTTTTTAATTTAGAACTTTAAAGTACATATATAAATGTTTTTGGATATGCTAATTGATTTAAATTCAGAAGGTATATAAAAATTTCCTGCCCAGGCAAATCTTTTGAGTCTAAGTTTTCTTATATGAAAAACAGCATCAGAAAAATATTACAATAAAATATCCAGAAATAAACTTAACCAAAAATATGTAGGACACAATGGAAAAAAAAAATTCTCTTTTGACACTATGTAATATTAAAAACCTTTTAGCTCTGGTGGCGTAGTGCCTAAGGCATTTGACTGCTAACCAGAAGGCTGGCAGTTGAAACCAACCACCACTCCTTGGAAGGAAGGTTGGGCAATCTACTTGTGCAGTGATACTGCCTCGGAAACCAAAGGAGGGGTCACTATGAGTCGGATTCAACTCGATGGCAGTGAGTTTGGTTTTGATTTAAAATTAAAGACAAATAACAAAGCAGGACAAATATGGAAAAGAATTGGTATATTTTATACACAAAGAGTTCTTACAAATGAAAAAAGAATATGATAAAACCACCAAAGAAAATCATGAACAAAAGTCAAGGACAACTACAAAATATGAATTTTAGTCTGTAATTAGTAACCAGTGAAGTGCAAATTAAAACAAAAAAGATTTTTCTTCTTATCAAATTGTCAAAGATCAAGGAATAAAGAAAGATGTCTCTTCCAATTTTGGTGAAGATATTGGGAAACATATAATCAAGTATAACTGGTACAAACTTTAACTCAACAATCCAGTTATAAAAATTTATCCAAAGAAATAATTAAGGATATACACAAAGTTTAATGTTGTAAGATGCACAAAATAAGAGTAATTAAATGAGAAAGAAGAAACAACTCTCAAAAAGTAGGTCTCTGATCATGTAATTTTGATATATTGGTAATTACTATAAAATGATATATAATCTTATACAGCCATTAAAATTACAATGGTTTTCATTTTATTTGTACTCTTCTATATTTTTTTATTATCAAGCAAATGTATTTTTAAAAATGCTTAATATGAAAAGTGTTATTTTAAAAAAATAAGGAACAAAGATGCCAAAAACATAGAGCACTGCCCATCTTTGTTAAGGATTTATCATTTGTTTTTTGAAAAACAGTGTATCAAGAATTCTAAGGGACCCTGGCATGAATCACATTACATTACAGATGCACAGAAAGTTTTGCCATCAAGAATCTTACAAATTTTTCCCCACCTTTTCATTAATTCATTTTAAAAAGTGGGAATATGGAGAAGTAAAGGAAATGAAGGGTTTATTTTGTAAATGTTTTCTTTATATCCCCACTGTCACTGACTCAATTCTGACTCATAGCGACCCTATAGGACAGAGTAGAACTGCCCCATCAGGTTTCTAAGGCTGTAAATCTTTTTGGAAGCAGACTGCCTCGTCTTTCTCCTGCAGAGTGGCTGGTGAGTTTGAACCACCAATCTGTTGGTTAGCAGCCCAATGCTTCAACCTCAGTGCCATGAGAGCTCCATTTTCTTCATATAGATCCATATTAAAAACTGTCATGTTAAAAAAACATGTTCTACCATGTTGTGTTAACTACATGGTAGAACATGTTTTTATAAGATGAATATTTATACCAGGTAGGTACATTCCTTAGAAAAATCAACCAAGGCAGATCAGAAGGGCAGTATTTGTACAGAGAGATAGCTCAGAGGGCAGGAATGCACAGGAAAGAGGCACCCAAGGAAAAGGTAACCACAAGGAGGAAAAGGGCAGAGAGCTGTTACATTATGGGGATTGCAATCAATGTCATGAAACAAAATGTGTATGAACTGTTGTCTGGAAAATGAATTTGCTCTGTAAACTTTCACCCAAATCAGAATGAAAACAAATTAAATGAAAACAAACGAACATGTTTTAAGTCCCCTTAGTCATGCATGAGGATCATACAGAAAAGGGTACGAATTAAAATGTATAACAATAAAGAACTGACTCCCAGGCACTATGATGTCCACCAGGTTGACAAGCATTTTGTAGCCTTAACTTATATTGAAAATGGATCTGATATCATTCATCATTAAAAAACAAATAGGGCCTAAGATTAATCTGAACTACCTAGAATAAATTTATTTGCTCTTTATTAAGAAAAGAAAATACATTAGCTGATTTCCTAAATTACAATGAATTAGTCTAAAATTAGTAACCAATATCTTTTAGTCAAAGGAAGATAATTATCAAAATGGATGTTTACCTTATAATCAAAGTTTTCATTTAGGAAGTTCTTGCGAAGAGCGTCTGAGAGGTACAGAACTGTTGTAATAATAACGCTAGTGATAAAAAAAATAAATTGAAAACTTAACATTAGTGAAAATTATTTATTAGATAAGAATGGAAAGCAACTAAGATAAAAGAAGGTCTCCTTCGATCAGAATGTGGAGCAACATTAGACAACTCATATCTGAAACAGAAAAGGAAAAGAGATAACAGGCCTACCACCAACCCAGTTAAGAAAATCTATTATTGCCATTGGCTGCTTTGAAAAATTATACACAGAAAGATCTATGAATTCATAAGATGCAGAAGAACTATATTAGTATCTTAATGTTTTGTTATATCTCATTAATTTCTTAATAATAAGGTAAAGTACAAATACAAATATAATACTCCATATTTGATTAACATGGAAGAAAGACACTATTTAAAAATACATTTTTTAAAAAAAAAATAAAAGGAGCTCAAAGATGGAAATAGGATAAAATGAGAGAAATTAGTAAGTATTTATTAGCTTCCTCTTTGCTCTATCTCACGTAAGGTTTTAGGGGGCAAGAAAATACCATGTATTGCAGATTCCCTCAGTCAGGGAGAAAAATCAAACAAAAAACCCACCAAACCTGCTGCCTCTGAGCCGATTCTGACTCATAATGACCCTATAGGGCAGGGTAGAACAGCCCTAAAGGGTTTCCAGGCCTGTAAATCTTTATGGAAGCAGACTGCCTCATCTTTCTTCCATAAGTGGCTATTGGGTTCAAACTGTCAACCTTCCAGTTGGCAGCTGAGTGCTTCAATCATAATGCCACCAGGGCACACTGCCACAAAAGAAATAATTATAGACTGTAAACTCATCAATAATCCAGTACTAACCTGTGTGAAACTGACAGTGAGTGTTAGAGCAATTCAGAGCATTTCCAGGGCTAGAGAAATTAGGCCAAGCTTTAGAGAGGGAACATGTAAAACCATGTATCTGCTGGGAAGATTAAAAAATGTGCATAGATAAGCATCTAGGGCACCATAGCTCAATCAGCTGATAAAACAAAAGGATTTAGCATGCATTCCTGGTTATTCTAGAGTTCTACAATTAGTTCGAAATCTCATTTTTACAGCTCTGAGTGTATATATTAAAAACTGGATTTCCAATTTGTTCACTGAATATTGTTGGTGTTGTTAGCCTTTGAGTCATGGAAACCCTGAGCACAATGGGACTGGACCACAGTGATCCATAAGGTTTTCATTGGCTGATTTTTATGAAAGTAGATTTCCAGGCTTTTCTTCCTAGTCTGTCTTAGTCTGAAAGCTCCACTGAAACTAGTTCGGCCTCATAGCAATGCAAGCATTCCATGACAGATGGGGCCAGCTGTGCGGGAAGTGCACTGGCTGGAATCAAAACTGGGTCTCCCCTGTGGAAGGTGAGAATTCTACACTGAACCACCAGTGCCCCCACCAAATGTCTGATGTAGCATTATATTGAAACAAGAAAGTCCCTCCTCTACTATCTATTAACAGGCTTGATATAATAAGAGGATAAAAATTCACTGCCGTTGAGTCAATTCAACTCATAGCAACACCTCCTTGGGTTTTTGAGGCGGTATCTCTATGGAAGTACATTGCTCAGTCTTCCTTCTAAGGAATGACTGATGGGTTTGAACCACTAGACTTCTGATTAGCAGTCAAATACCTTAGGCACTAAGCCACCAGAGCTCCTTTAAGAAGAGGATACCAAACCAAAAAACAAACCCACTGCCGGTGAGTTGGATCTAACTTATAGCGATCCCTCCTTGGGTTTCCAAGGCGGTATCACTATGGAAGTAGATTGCCCAACCTTCCTTCTGAGGAGTGGCTGGTGAGTTTGAACCACCAGCCTTTGGTTAGCAGTCAAATGCCTTGTTGTTGTTGTTGCTATGTGCTGTTGAGTCAGACCCGACTCACAGTGACCCCTCCTTGGGTTTCCAAGGCAGTATCACTATGGAAGTAGATTGCCCCATCTTCCTTCCGAGGAGTGGCTGGTGGGTTTGAACCGCCAGCCTTCTGGTTAGCAGTCAAATGCCTTAGGCACTACGCTACCAGAGTGAGGCCAAATGCCTTAGGCACTAAATAAGAGGGTAGGGCCTCTAAAAATAAGAGTGCTTAGGGCTTAAAATACCTTTAAATGATTCTACTTCAAGTGCTTTTTGTTTATGTTTATAATATTTAGCCCCTGTCACAGAGGTAGCTCCCAGAGCTTTTTATGGTAACTGAGCACCAAGACACAATATCCTAGCATATTATGTCCCCAAGCCAGCTAAAGGCATTCTGTACATCACTGGCCCTTCATTGTGTGGTGTTTGGGAAACTTCCTTTACTCGTTCCAATTTATTCATGTAGCTTCTCCAGTTTTACTCACTTACTCATGACTCAGTTTCTGAATACGGACATTTCATATCTCAGTGCTCTAGCTCAACAGCCAAGAAAAGTTTGCAATCTGTGGCCATAAATGGTCAAAATACTGATTTCTTTCCTAGACATGCAGGCACAAGTTTTACTCTTGACAGCCATTATCTGTGGACACAGTATGATATAATTTATACATAAAAGAGGAACCAGTGGCCGGGAAGTCTCAGTTAATTGCTTCATGGTTTTCCAGTTGCCATTTCATATCCTATAATTTATTCTTTTGAAAACGACTTTAGCCTGCTATCTGCTCAAGGAAAACGTCCATCAAAAGTTATACATGTTTCTACACAAAGAAAACAGTCTATGTGGATAAAAAGTAGGCATTGAAGCTTACGTTTGCACATTGAAAAACTAAGGAAACATAACCTGAAGTACAATGACTTCCCTACAACCCGGGTGGACTGGATGAGGGAAGGGAAAATCAACTGCACAGCCATTAAGTGAATTTATTTGTTGGGCAATCTACTTCCATAGTGATATCACCTCGGAAACCTCAGGAGGGGTCATTATGAGTCAGGTCCAACTTGACAGCACATAACAGTAGTTCTAAAACTTCCATGTGCCTAAGAATCCCTGAGTGGTGCAAAAGACATCAGGGCCTCACCACCACCTATGGCATACTGGGTCTGCAATGAGGTCTAGCTAGGTGATTCCAAAACAGGTGACCATCATATCTCATTTCAAGATAAAAATAAAAAAGATAATAGACAAGGGTTGAAACTTGGGGAAGAAGAACATGGGGAGGATTTGGCCCTGCATGCCACTATATCACTAAACGCCTAATCCAATAAAGTTCAATGACTGAAACCTCCTAACTGTATTTGAATTTATCCTCTGTTACACTTACTTGCTCTATTAGGTAATTCTGAAGTGTTAAACTTGTAAAACGTTTTGTACATTGTAAGATGTTTTGAAGAACAGACTGGAATTAAATACGCAAGGCGGACAGAATATGGCACTCCACAGCAGACAGAATATGGCACGCCACAGCGGACAGAATATGGTACTCCAGGTGGAGGGCAGAGCACCAGTTAAAGCACAGAAACAGGAAGAGAGTGATTCTGCTTCCAGTCAATTAAGCACGGAGTGTGGGCTATCAGTAAAGGGAATGAGAAATAATTGAAAAGGAATGATGTTGAAAACTCCCCTGACCTACTCCACTGTGCAGTCATTCACTCACGTGGTAACAGCCTCAGCTCGGAGAGATGAAGCCCAAACCCTAAAGAATGCTTTCCTGCATGTGTCCATTCTCACTACCAACTCCTTACAACTCTCCAGGAGATGTTGTGTATATGTATTTGCAAATCTTGTGTAAATATTTGCTGTAACTATTTCAGTTTAGCACACTCATTTTAGAATATATAGTTTGATAAAAATAAATACCTTACCTCTCCCTGGATTATAAAATCCTTTAAGGATAGTTATCTTTAATTAAAAAAGCAAAAAAATAGCAGCAGCTGGGTCAATGGCTGCTCAACAGACAGCTGTTCTACCTCTTAATCTTCCAACTTTTGGAGTATGACATATTCTGCCTTCCTTCCTGTTTTTGTGGAGAAATGGTTAATTTTCCTAGCTAAGGTCAAGCTCTCTCTGTGTGCACTAGATTGGTGCTACTTTAAGTATGGTAAGCTTCCTTCATTGAGAAAGTCTACCACAAATAACAATGTCAGCTGAAGTAAACTGAGTGTACAGAGACATGGCTGATTTATTCTGCAGTCCAAACTCATTTGATCATGGAGTTGTTGTTAAGTGCCGTCGAGTCGTTTCCAACTCATAGCCACCCCATGCACAGCAGAACGAAACACTGC